AGATCATACCAGTTGAGAGAATGTATTTCTAATTGTTCACTTTAAACAAATAATTTATTCCCTTCTTATAGAGGAGGGTTGGAAGAGACAAAGAGAGAAGCCTTTAAAGCAGCAATGAAACTAAAAATCAGTAACAAGGTGTAGCATTAAAGGAAAGTAACATTGTTACCAAATGCTACTTAGTGCCAAGCACATTTTGGAGTTACCTAAAACAACTAAGGAATTGTCAAGGAAGCTGAAGTAATTTTTCCTATAATTCCAGGGAAGTCCCTGCCCATTATCCAATTCCTATCAAATTTTGTTTAAAGTGGACAATTGGAAATACATTCTCTCAAATGATATTATTTATTTGGGGGTGGAGGGCAGGGGGAAAGTGAGCAATAAAATCCAGATCGCTCAAGTTTAAACCAAGAGGTTTAAATTTGCCACATTAGGGGGAGTGTTTCCTCATGATTGTTGAGATCTTGTTGCATGATATTTCCTTCTTGTGCAACTATCTGAGCCCAACTTCTAAGTTAAATGTAATATATAATTTATTAATAGACGTTGAACTGAAATCTATACCACATTCATCCTAACTGACTATTGAAAACACAACTGATTTGTAACAAAGGTTAAGAAGTATGCAGCGCTTTAGGGAAACAGTTCTTCATGTAGCTAAAGGAATATAAACCAGATTTTAAAAAGGAAGTCAGGCATCAAGAACATTTTGTGGCACAATTTATCTGCTAGATTTGAGAAGGGGATATTTATAGGCCTTTCTGTTTTCATCCATCCTAAGAATGAGAACACATCATTCACTGGATGTGTTGTTTATAGTTTCATAAAGCTGTTCCATGGCAGGGTTTATTTTATCTTGTGCTTAATACCCATCAAATCATCACATGGCATAGTCTAAAAGGGACTGATTCCTATGGAATATTTTATAGAGAGAGCCATTTTATTTGGAACAGTAGGTCAAAGGGTACAAGTCTGCAGCATAAATTCCTACTTTGGGCTGTCAGAAAAAGGAAGAAGGTATGTAATGGCCCTGATTGCATCTTTCTATGGTAACTGGAATTCTCTCTCAATATTCAGTGTATAATAATGGATACAGATATAGGGTCCTCATCAAAGGAGACTGAACAAATTCTAGGAGCAAACAATTAGAAGTTGTGATTACAGAAACAATAATCCATTACAGTCAGTTCTGTGAAACTGAGGGAATTTGAAGGTAAACCTGTCATAAATCCTGAAGGTTAGAGGCAGAGTATTCCTATTTGATATCAACACTTTTTCAATAAGCACAAAAAAGTAGTAACAACAATAATTACAATTAATTTATAATGAAATGTATTATCTCTTTTTTTCTGTTGTAAATATTGGGCTGAGTTATTTCAGTACTGAAATGTTTCTTCAAAAGAATTAAATACATATTTCAGAATAGGTTACTGTGAAATATTTTTATGAAGAAGATAAACAGACAAGGTTAAGACATTCTGTCTGCTCCCTCTTTTTCAAGTGAAAACATTGCTTACTGTTTTATAGAACCTCAATTATTATTTCAATTAGTTAGCAGGATTGGTTTTCAATTAGTTATTAAAATCAGATTTTAGACCTCTGCCCATTACTTGGAACTTGCACTGAAACAGACAATTTTGCTCATTGATGCTCTGCACCTCTTGAAGTACTGAAGTAAGAGTCTTTTCAGGTCTAATTGGCAGTCTTGTGGACTCAGTTTACCATCTTTTGTATTCAAAACATGAGCTCCACCAATGGATCATGCCCAGCTGAGAAGAGATGATGTTAGCCCATCTCCATTCAAATCCTAATTCAGTGGCAAGAAAATTGTCTTGAGGGGGCTAAGAGGCAGGGAGAACAAATATTGCTCTTTGAATTGCCAAGGCACATTTTTTATTATTAAGAAAAACCCACAGAAATGTGGATTTTTATCTAATTTTGTCACTGGCCACATTCCAAAGCTGAAGGTCTTTTTACAGATAAAATAGAATTGTTTTGTTTTAATAGTTTATAAGTAGGAGGAAACATATGGGAATAATTGCAGTTGCCTCATCTCCCTCTCCATTGAGATGTTTAAATATGTAAAAATTGTCCGGAGAAAGAGGGGACAATACTTACAATGGACTAAAACAAGAGTCAGAATTACCTTTATTTCTTAGGCTAAATTTGTCACTCTCCAGATGTTAATGAACCACATCTCCCATCATCCCCATGACCAATGGAGAAGGATGCTGGGTCTGAAATTCAGCAACATCTGGAGGCTTTTGGATTCCCCAATCATTGCATAGGTTGTAATTTAACTGAGTAAAAGAATATCATAACTAGATTTCTAAAACATAATTCAGGAAGAAAATTAATTCAGTGAGATTTTTCCTCTCTTTTCTCATCCCATCTGGAAAAATATGAGGGAAACAGCAGTGGCAGTGAGAGAAGACAGGTTTGCTTGCATACTGAATCCTAAGTCTGAGGACTGCCATTAGCGGCTTCTGGATATTGTTGGGTAAAGAACAGCTTCAGCCAGCCACAGTGAGACAGGTTCTCTACTGTGTATCCAACAGGAATTCTGATTATATAGGCCCCACAGCACTGTGTGATCTATACCTTTTATGTATACAGGACTGGAATAGGGAAGAGGGGGGGAAGCCAGAATCAGGCATCTGTTGAGATCATGTTGCCAAGGGCTGGATAATTTCATACTCTTATGCACAAACAATATGCCTGGGTCCAGAGGCTTCCACAAAATCCTCCTATTGGTCTCCATTAGTAATTCTACTAATTGCAGCAATTACATGAAGGACTTACTGCTGGGGAGGGAAGCCATTATACTTCTCCTTAACACACTGCAGTACATGCTGCTCTTTAATTAGAAACAGCCTCTCACACGCTCAGAATTACTAGCTGAAGAGTGCATGGAACATGTGCTCTGATTCACTGACACCGGAGATGCTTTTGATGTGGCCTCAGTTTTTCAGAGACAGACTTACCAGCCCATCCACCATTATGTTACAATACCAGGGGAATGCATCCCAGTGTCACAAGGACAAGTATTTTGCTTTTTCATGGATACATGAAATAAAATAACCTTCATTTTACAGTAGTACATTTTTACTATCCAAAACATACCTAGAGTTTGATTACACAGTCCATATTATTTTTAGAAAGATTGTCATATGTGGATTATCTTGTGCAGTATAGATTTTTTTTAGTACTGTATCCAGGAACAGATGATGATGATGATGATGATGATGATGATGATGATGATGATGATGATTTAGTTATGCACCTATGCCATTTTATTTGATAATATTTATTCATTCATTTGTTTATTATATTTTAATCTGCCCACTTAACTAACTGGGGGATTATATAAAATTAAGTAATGTTTCCTACTGTTTTGTATGAAGTTCTGTAGAACTTGCTGACAGTCTCTACTGTGGGGATAAGAGTGTGTTAACCTAACTTGTCATTATATTTTCCAAAACAAGGACCAAAACTCAATACCAGAGCCCCTGCTACACACACAGTTGCCAGTTTGTCTTTGGCATTTCCAGGTTTGCTCAGTAGACGATACTGAGCAAAATGAACCAGTGACCTGTGTTTAAGGCAATTTTCTATGTTCTTACATGTGGGAAGTGTTTTGAATATTCTAGAAGCACCTTAGAAATATTATAATAGAATATGGGAAATTGAGGCACACTACAGTCATTTAATAGAATCTGGTATGTTGGAGTAGAAATAGGCATATACAAAAAAATAATGCCAACTATCTAAAGGAGGAGAAGAACAAATGTGTGTCACAGAAATTTCTAAGCCATGGCTCAAGGATTGCTGCTCTTTTAAATATGTTTTCCTTCATTTGATCTTTGTTTCCATTTTTTTTTGTTCTTATTCACATCAGACAACAGATGACCTTGTTTCTTCAGCAGAATGTTCTAACGATGATGAAGATTTCATTGAATGCGAGCAGAGTGTAGGTAAGCCAGGTCAGTCTTCTTTTTGGCTTGCTTTCTTTTATTTTGCAATTGACAGTGCCAATACATATATGTGTGTCTGAATGTATACATATATATGTATGCTCATATATGTATATGTGACATATGTATATATGGGTAGAAATGTGTATAAAAATATCACTGTGTAAAGCCAAGCATCCAATCCCATGGAACTGGTAGGGGCAAAACATGAATGTGCCATCATTTTGGGAAGCCATCTTTGAAAAAAGAAAACCAACTATTTTTGAACCAGTACCTGTTCAGCTTATTGTGAACCAATGTGCGATAAATTTGTAATGGTTTAAGAACTGGCTCTGGTGGGGAGAAAGGAAACAGTTTGCATTATTTTTCCTGACATAATAAAAGTCTGGCTATTAATTAAAAAAAAGAAGTAGATAGGGAAAAAAAGAGGTAGAACCATGGCTGTTTTTACATCTTCTTGACAGATATGAAAACATGCCTCAAAAGTTCTATTTGTCCATGGGATTTTAAAAGCGGTTAACATGGCAATGTATTTCTGCTAATGTTGTGCCCGGTTTACTTAACCAATCTGAGAAGATCTAAAACACAGTGGGTCTAAAACACAATTATTAGCTTGTGCCATGCTACCTGCAGCAATGATGCTTCAAAATGTATCCACTGAAATGTCAAAACTAATTAGAGCAATCTGAAATGGGCACGATTTATCCCTTTGAGCATAGATACATTTTGATGATTTGATGGCTTTTTGGGGGGGATAGAGGATGGGATAGATATGATTGTGCAATATCCAGCAGGCAACTGCAGTCTACTTTATTTTTAACTAATTTTGTTCCAAGTCTTTCTTTTCTTTTAGTTTCATTTAATTTTTTTAATTTTGAGGCTTGTTGTGAATTAAATAGATATATAATAGAGAACAGAATTTCATCAAATTTTTGTGTGCATTGTAAAAATGAAGTTTTCTACAAATCTGTCCTTAACCACAAAACACATAAAAGTCTTCTTTCTCTTCTTTTGGTTTTGTTATAAACAAACAAAAAAATGGGTTGGGTGGGTAGATTATTTTATTATTTTGAAAAGCCTTATGTTTGCTAAAAATCAAACTTCAGATGGTTATGTTCATTGTTTCCTGAAGCATTTCAGATTAATACAATGATAATAATTAAAAAATCATCCAAAGCTAGTGCTTTCACATTTCTCTTCCACCACTCATATTCTGCTTGCATTTTGGGGTAAGACTTGCTCTGACAGTAATAAAAACCATTGTGGCTTTGCATGTACCTGGGAAGTTCCACAATAAAGCTAAAGCAACATAACATTGGCATTCATGCTGATGCACAGTTCAGTACCAAAAAAAAAAAAAAATGCAGAGAGCCCCGTGAGATATGCTCATGAACATTTTATGCCATGGGTTAAGCATCAACACTCTTGCATTAACAGTTGCTTTGTTGTGCTGCATAACTGGGAGTTCAAGATGCCCCTTTCCTAATATTTTTCTTTGTTTCTTGGCCATGTTCTGCTGGAATAAACAATGGCACTTTTGAAAAGAAAAGTCATAGGTCTTAAACAAAGTGGTGATTTAAAAACCTCATATGGCAGGAATTTGTGAGTTTTGCGAGCTCCTTCAGTAGGGCTGTGCTAGAGAATTGTTCCTGTAGACAGAGGTCTTTGACCTCCTTTCTTGTGACTGATCATATTTTTCAGCTTTTTCTGGCACTCCTATTGTAGTTTCATCCATCACGCTTGCACAGATACGTTGTAGTGTCAGCAAGAAAAACAAACAAAAAGAATGGCTATTCAAAAATGGATCTATTATACCAGACCCAAACTTGGTCTTTTGTTTACTGTTTTCAACAGGGTACAGTTAGATTGTGAGTTTCATGTAGATAGCACTCAAACATATATTGGAATCCCACTGCTAATCTTTTTAGAACTTTGTTAAACTTTTTTTTTTTATTTCTCTAATTTCTAATAAATTTGCACTTAAAATAGAAGTCTTTTTTGCCCTTTCTCAATCTTTTCCTCTTATCCATCACCTGAAGAGATGTTGTGAAGGCAGTATCACTACTACTTCCATGGTGTTGCATTGCAGTGTTCAGAACCTTGAGATGTGGCATCAGTGAATGAATCAGGTTGCTACAAATGTAAGAAGTGCCTGTTCATCCATAAAGAGACAGTTAAGAAACATAGGGTCATGCCATACATCTAGTGAGACAAAAAGAACTTCAAATGAGATTAGACTTGCCACTAACTTATGCTTTGCTTATTGTTTCCTAGTTGATGAAGCTTCGAGAAGCTTCTCTTTTAAACCTTTTACAATTCTCAGCGTATTCCCATATTCTTATGTTTTTAGTTTTAAAATAAATGCTTCCAGCTTGTCTCAACCACTTGATATGTTTTCAGCGCCACTTCTCTTGTTGATAGGATGTGTTAGAAAATTTGAATCATGTGGAATATTTTCAGCCCTAAGAGCTAGGTGTGTACTGGATGTTAAGTCTGGCCCCGTAAAAATATATGAATGTACAAGTGTGCACAAACATGCAGGCACATATTCATATGGACAAACATACAGGCATACACAAACGGAGACTCTCTTTCAAACAATCTTAAAGTAGCATTCACCACCATTATGCGTCTGCTCTGATTTACAAACATTGAAGTTGCTGCTGATTGTCTGAAATTTTCTGTTTCTATAAGTCCCAGCATATCAGATGCTTTACCTTCTATTCTGAGGAGCTTCTGTGGCCACTGGGCTTTCAGGAAAAAGGCCTTTAAAAAAAAAAAAGAAGTCCTGTTCTTCCAAGTTCCTCGAAAGGTATAGTAATTAGGGTGGTGCAGAATTCCAAATTCATGACTTGATACAAATGACATTTGATCAACTCACCCATTCTAATTAAATCTGTGAACTGAATGTTCAAGGCATTGAATGAGGTCCTTCCAAATTGTTTAATTCAGAGATTCAACAGCTGTACGATCGATACATAACATGTCATTCCCAAAAAACCATGTCAAAAAGCATAATCAGAAAACTAAGTGGTCAGAGACTGGTGGACTCTTCCAAACTTTAGTAAATTTTTCAACAATTCTTGAAAATGTGTATTTTTAAGTTGGGATGAGACACTTTCTGTATTGGTTTACATAATTTCAGCATGTTTGCTGGACAATTTGGAGGCTGCTAGCCTGTCTGTCTCTCATCCTAGAATGGAATACTATTAAGATTAAACCACTGAAGCTATCTGGCTGAAATTTTACAGAAAAAAATGTGTTATAAAAGATTCATCGTCTTTGCTATTTTCATTCAGTTCTGTCAAAGACAGAATCAACTGAACGTATTCAGTATCTTACAGTATTAGAACTTATAGTTTGACTTTTTTTCAAACTGATTTGAACGGAATCTTGTGGCCTTCAAATTTAAACTGAATTAGATCACCCCCAATACATGAATTTTGAGTGCAGATCAGATCTTGGATTATTCATGTATCCTTACTAGTAATTTAGAGGCCACTCAGGGTAGAATCCAGGAAAATTATCTTCATCAATCTGTGTGTGCCTTAACAGGTTGGCTAGGGTCCTTTCTCTTTCTTTGTTTTCCACTGGGAGAAAATTGTTTATGCACCAATAACTGAAATATGCATCAAAGTTGTGCATTTTCCTCATCCAAGAGTCTTAATAAGGTGAAGATGACACATTGAAGAAACCCAACAGGTCTTTTTTTTCTTGATAAGCATTTGCATATATTGAATAGAATAAATATCTGTAGAAATAAAAAGAACCAAAAGATAGCACATAAAAATATGACAACTTAGAACATGTGCAGCTTTTTCTTCATTACGTCTTTGGGCACAGAGGATAATTCTTGCTGAAGCACTTGCATGTAACAGTAATTATTGTGATAAAATAAGTGTCCTGGTGTGTGTTTCTCAATTACTGCTGCTTACAGGACCAGCTCTACCATTAGGCAAGCAGAAGATAATGAAGGCAGCCAAGGAAATCATGTCCCGCTTTTGCTTCTGAGCCCCTAGCCATTCTCATTTCCTGTTTCCCAGAGAATGGCACTACAAGCATCAGATAAATTGCCCTGCATCCCCTAAACTAGCTGCCTTCGTCAGTAGCGGAGGACTCAGTGAAATGTTCAGAGTTGAAATACGATTCAACTGCCAGTTCAGTCAACTTCAGTACATGGAATGGAGTGCAGACTGCAAGAAAACTTGGTCTTCTTGGTTCTTTTTGCCAGATAAATAAACCCACACATCCCACCTGTGGCTTGACTGGCATCATCTACAAACCTAGTTACTTGGCTTGTCAGAAGAACAAGCCAGATAACTCGTGTAATGATAAAGCATGGCTGTTTAGTGTGGAGAAATCAGTGAGCACCACACACCAGCATTCATCTTTGCTTGATCACATTTAATGTTGTTACTGCAAAGGTTACCTCTGTGCTAAAAGATCATTCAGCTGACCTGTGCAAAGGCCAAGAAGAAACTGATATCACGGTGTCATCCAGAACATTTTTTGTTCAAGAACAGCAGGCTAAATCAATTGAGGAGAGGGAAAAAAACACCAATGAGTTGCTTATTACCTGATAAATGGGTTTACAAGTCTTTTGTTTCTGTGGAAAGAAACAATTGTCTTGGTAGATGTCATCCAATGTCCAGGTAGATGTCATACCAATGTCCAGGTCCTGCAGGCACTTCCCAGGAGCTTAATCTTTTTGCACTGATTTTTTTTATTGTTTGCTGCTCTTTTTAAGGATAGCAAGAGCATCTATATAAGTTCTGAATATACAGATATCCAAACTGGGGGCCAAGTTGCAAAGCACAACTGCTTAAAAAAGGATTATGTTACAACTATTCATTGGAACTTCCAAGCTACATGTACATGTCTTCATTTCTACAGAAAAAACAAAATAGCAAGTTTTACTCTTTTTTCATGCAAATGTCTTATAGGGTGCCTTTAATTAAATTTGCATTTATTATGATTTTACCTGCTTCTTTCCAAGCCCCAAAAGCCCC